TTTATGGGACAAGAATTCAGAACAGGACAGTGTAGAGGAGGGGATGAAGTCTTCAGGGAAGTCCTCAGGGGCTGACTTGAGGCAGAGTAGTGATGGGGCTCAATGGAAAGAAGAAATTACAGACCTTAGTAGGTCTAAGTCTGGGCAAGAGTTCTAATTTCAGTCTATTTGGTGCAACACAATTCCCACATGCACCATACTTTCCACAACATTTGTGGGGCTAGATAGGAGGTTGGAGATCTTGAAGAACACAGCAGGGGGTAGTTCTTTTCCAAGTTAACCACAAATAGCTGATCCTGAAGAGATTTATGCTTTAAGTGTTGAGGCTTGCCTAGGATAGTTAATTTGATCCCATGCTTCCTGGGCAGACAATGTCCAAGGGTACACATAGAATACAGTACTTCAAGGAAAAAGTATCATTGTGAGTAGCTAGAAGGGATGAGTATCTTTGTGGGGGAAATAAATCATCAGAAGGTTAGAAATAAGAATGCATGTGATATGTGATCAATGGAGCAGCACTGGGCGGTCAGAGGGAAACAGGAGGGATTTGTATTGATTAGTTTGCAGTGAAGGTGTTGTATGACTAAAAGTTAATCCATGTTTATAGGCAGGTGTACAATACAATGACCATGGAATTAGGAAGATTAGCCTGGCTGTGGGTGCTAATCATGCTAATGTTAGGTGACTATCATTGCTTTTCTTGCCTTGGAATTCAATCTCATCTCAATTTTCATCTATAATATTCCAATAATACACCTGAGCCCATTTCTCTACTTTCAATCCTTTTGTTCCTCCCTTAATACATTTTACTCTGATGTTCTAATTTATTTTTTCTATTATGAAATGCCAAAAATTCTTGGTTCAGCTTGTTTTTTTCTTCTGCAGTTTCAGAGTTTTGCACTGAAAATTCCTGCTGCTTCATGGACTTATTTCTCTAACTTCTTATATCTGGCTCTATCTTGTCATTAGGTTCCTAATTCAACTCTGACTTCTTTTACTAAAGCTATTCTACGTTATTTTTCTATAGCCAGTTGCTGCTGTATCATTTTATGCATTTTCTTCTGTCATACAATACCTCATAAAATTATCTTATTCAGTTATTTGTTTAGTTGTGTGCATTCATTGCCTTTTCTATTAGCTGTGACCTTCATGAGACTTCATAAGTTTTCTTGTCTGTTCATTCAAAATTTCCAACATTTAGAGGTGAGCATTTAGCCTAGGAGTTAAGATGCTGGTTAAAATGTCTGTGTCTCACACTAGAGTCACAGGGTTTAATACCCAGCTATGCCCACAACTCTAGTTTATTGGTAATGAAAGCCATGGGAAGCAATGATGATTGTTCAAATAATTGCTTTTCTGTGGCCAGCACACGGCTCACTTGGTTAATCCTCCGCCTGCGGTGCCGGCATCCCATATGGGCCCAGGGTTCTAGTTCCGGTTGCTCCTCTTCCAGTCCAGCTCTCTGCTGTGGCCTGGAGGGCAATGGAGGATGGCCCAAGTGCTTGGCCCCTGCACCTGCATGACAGACCAGGAAGAAGCACCTGGCTCCTGGCTTTAGATCGGCATACCTCCAGCTGTAGCAGTCATTTGGGGAGTGAACCAATGGAAGGAAAACCTTTCTCTCTGCCTCTCTCTCACTGTCTATTACTCTACCTGTCCAATAAATAAAAAAAAAATGTTTTCTGTCACCTCTGTGGGAGACCAGGATTGAGTTCCTACCTTGGCTTTGGATCCTATCTCCCTCTTGGCCATTGCAGGACTTAGAGGAGTAAACCAGTGGATGGAAACTGTTTCTCTCTACCTCTCAAATCTATTTTTTAAGTTTCCAGCATTTAAACAATGTATAGATTATTTGGCTAAGTGAATGTTTTGCTTTAAAAAATGATGGGAGCATGAATTTGGAAGATTGGTTATGTAGCTGCTTAGAATACTCACATCCCATATTGGAGTGCTTCCTTCAAGGCCCAGCTCCTCTGCTTCTGATCCAACTTCCTGCTAACACATACCCTGGGAGGCCACAGGTGATAGCTTAAGTGCTTGGTTCCCTGTCACCAATGTGGGAGACCTGGATTGAGCTTCAGACTCCTGGCTTCAATCTGGCCCTGCTCTGGCTGCTGTAGCCATTTGAAGAGTTAACAAGATAAAATATCTCTCTATCTTCTCTGGGTCTCTACCTTTCAGATAAAAAGTAAAATAAAATAATAAAATAAAACTTATGTGATGAGTCAGATGATTGTGATGATGTTCTAGCACTGATGTAAAGAGGGATCAAATGTCAGTGGAGGCCATGCATGTGAAATAAATTGGAAGTGTGGAACAGGTATGAACAAGAAAGAATTAGGAAGCCTTAAAAAGTGATTTACAAAGAGGGTCAAAACAGCATTTGGAAGAAACTGCAGTAATAAATGCCTGTCCAGCTGGTAAGGTGGGGAGAACATTCGCTGACCTGCAGAGTGATGAATACCCCTGAATCAGCAGGGATGGCAGTGTGTTCACAGTGTTTGAGGGATAAGCATTACTGCCATTAGAAGCTAGTGCCCTAAACCATTTCATCCCAGCCCACAAAGGAGTTTAAGTGAGAGCCCCTTGGCTTCTATCTTTCACTAACTTCTACTCTCAAAAGGGCTCCTTTGGGTCGACTCAAACTCTTCCTTCAGGGCTATATAACAAAGCACAGAATCTTTCCTTTGCAGCTCTGCACCAGTCCAAAAGGCACTGAGAGGTCAGAGAGAATTCAGTTTGTTGGGATGAATTAGCTTCTTGAAGCTTAGCAATTGTTATTCATGTTTTATATATTTTAAGATTTATTTACTTGAAAAGCAGAGTTACAGAGAGAGATGGAGACACACACACACACACACACACACACGGATAGAATCTTCCATTCACTGGTTCACTACCCAAATGCCCATGACAGCCAGGTCTAGGCCAAAGCCAGGAGCCAGGAACTCCATCTGGGTCATCCCCTTGACGGCAAGGCCCCAAACACTTGGGTGATTATCTGCTGCTTTCCCAGGCTTATTATCAGGAAGCTGGATTGGGAGTGGAGCACTAGGGACTCAAAACGGCATTCCTACATGGGACATCTGTTTTGCAAGCAGCAACTGAACCTGCTGTACCATGGTATTGGCCCAATGGATGCATTATTTTTTTTTTACTTGACAGAGTTTGACAGTGAGAAAGAGAGAGAGAGAGACATAGAGAAAGGAGAAAGTTCTTCCTTCTGTTGGTTCACCCCCAAAATGGCCGCCACGGCAGGCACGCTGCACTGATCTGAAGCCAGGAGCCAGGTGCTTCCTCCTGATTTCGCATGCAGGTGCAGGAGCCCAAGCAATTGGGCCATTCTCCACTGCCCTTCTGGGCCACAGCAGAGAGCTGGATTGGAAGAGGAGCAACTGGGACTAGAACCCAACCCCCATAAGGGATGCCTGAGCTGCAGGGGGATGATTAACCAAGCGAGCCATGGTGCTGGCTCCCAATGGATGCATTATTAATAGTAATCACTCACAATGGAACAATGCTCAGTTCTTATCAAACATAATCAATTCTTAGTTGTGTTTCCAAACAGAAGGTAGATAGAAATCCTTTTAATTTTAAAAAGCAAATCAAAAACCAAGAAAAAATTTTCTGTACCCTTATCTTAAAGTGTGAATTACAATTAGGAAGGTCAAGAATTATAAATCTATTGAGCATTGGGTCGGATGCTGCTATTTTTAAGCTAACTTTAAACAAAATACTCTGATAATTTTTGAATGTATTTCTGAAGTTTGTTGAGCTTAGACTCAAGACTAGGAAAAGAGAAATAACCCTCTTCAATGGAGGTTTTCACACCCAGCAATGCTGAAATGCTTGCATATACATGGTGTGAGGTTCTTTTTCATAGGAGCATATCTACACAATATAAAAGTTTCTAGTATCTGTGGCCTAGACTAGATATTTTAGTCTCCTTGGATTACCAACCCTTCTTTATAAAAGAGGGCAGTCTCTAGAGGAGCGAGAAAATCAACCACAGTGTTCTGTCATAGTGAATTAGAAGGTGGTGGTTAAAATGCTGGTTGGGAGGCCCAGACTCCACATTACACTGCTTGCCTTTGAGTCTTGGCTCTGATCGTGATTCCAGCCTCCACACACAGCTAATGTGTGTCCTGGGAGGATGCTGGTGATGGCACAAATAATAGAGTTCCTGTCAAGTCATATTCTTTCTCTGCTTCCCTAGACACTTCCCCAGTTCAGTTCAGACAGAAATAATATCAACATGCAATGTTGATATCCCATTTGAAAGCATTGCTTCTCCCAGTTTTTCAACTTTGGCTGGTAATTGGGTTTTGGTGTGTTTGTAAATTTTACATCTGAAGTCTCCATGTTTCCATTTCTGCATTGTAAAAATCTAATAAGTATCACACAGAACAAACTTGTTCCAGATTTATTCTATTTTTCAAACATTATTGTTTGAATGAATATGTATTTTCTTACCAGAAGGATTAATGCAAAGAAGAGAGAAGACATACTTAGAAATATGGCAGAGATATCATCCATTCTTTCTAATTTTTTTTGCATGTTCTTGAGACACAGGAAGAGATCCATATGTATACTTTTAAATTATCCAAATATGCAAACCTCTACTTTGTGTGCTTTCTTTCTTCATTTGTGTAATAAAAAAAGTTGTGGAAGTAATTTCTCATAGGCTTGTGATATCAGAAAATTTACATAAAACTGCATAAATAAAACTGCTAAGGAGGGTGATTTTGGTAACAATGAATATTTTCTGGGAGGGGTCCTGGAGATACATAGAGGGAAAAGTCTGAATTCAGACTCATAAGCCAGTGCCAGAGCTGACCATGACCAGTGTTCTGTCACTCTTCTGGCCTCACCCTGGCATTGGTGACTCACCAGGGTAGGCAGTGCAGGGGCCACTACTGGGCATAAAAGGCAGAGTGGGACAGCTGCTGCTTATGCTTGTATTTGACACAACTGTGTTTACTAGCAATATTCCAAATAGAATGGTGCATCTCTCTGGTGAAGAGAAGGATACATTCACTGCCCTGTGGGGCAAGGTTGATGTGAAGAAGTTGGTGATGAGGCCCTGAGAGGGTTGCTTTTCAAGTTATAGGGCAGTCTATTGAGGCAGATGGAAGCTGGGCTTGTGTAGACAGAGCTGGCCCCAGGGTTTCTGCCAGGCACTGAATCCCCCAGTGCTGATTGTCTACCCAAGAACCCAGAGGTTCTTTATACCGTTTGGGGACCTGTCCTCTGAACCTGCTGTTATGAGTAATGTCAAGGTGACGGCCCATTGCAAGAAGGTGCTGGCTACCTTCAGTGAGGGTCTGAATCACCTGGACAACCTCGGGGAAAATTTTGTCCAGCTGAGTGAGCTGCACTGTCACAAGCTCCATGTGGATCCTGAGAACTTCAGTGTTAGTCTAGGCAATGTTCCACTTTTTTCTTTTCACATTCTCATCTTCTTTTTTTGTTGTTTGTTTCTTAAGCAACCTGTCTTTGTCAACATTTCTATCTAATTCCCTATATTTCGTCATTTATTGCTTTTCAAAAATTTTCATTTTTCTTTAGTATTTCGTTTTTTCATTCCTCACAGCATTGTTTTTTAATGTTTCTTTATTAATATCCTATATTTTCCTTGCTCTCCACTCCCTGCCCAATATCCTTTCCTCTAATTGCTATCTTTGTTATGCATTCTAGATTCCATATGCTAATTCTGCACCTGGAAAAAACCTTCTAACCCTCCATGGAGATAGGAGAGACTTCTCAAAAAGGAGAAGCACAGGATATGTCTATAGGCTATAAATCATTTGGAACATGAAGAATAATTTGAATTTTATAAATTCAAGAATAAATGAAAATAAAAGGAAGGTAACTATCTATCTGAGGACAATAGATCAAAAGGTCACATTGTAGGTGGGGTTGCAGATGTTGCTAAGAAGCAATCCACTATTACATCAATTAAGGGATTAATTAGTAATATTATTATATATGCATATACATGTACATACCTATGTGATTATACACTTATATATATATTGGTTGTTTTAAATTGAGACTCTATTTAGATTAAGATGTAGGAAGAAAATAATTAGTGTTGGCCCAATTTCAGAATACAAGCTTGATTTCTGTGCTAACCATACGTAAAATATCTCCATAGCTCTTTCTCACACTCCAGGGCAATGGGCTGGTGATTGTGCTGGCCTTCTACTTCGGCAAAGAATTTACCCCATAGCTGAAGGTGCCTATCACAGAGTGGCAGCTGGTGTGGCCAATGCCCTGGCTCACAAGTACCCCTAAGATCTTGACTTGTTCTCTACTTACCCTGTTCCATGGAAAATCTTTTCTATATTTCATCTATTGAACATGAAGACATAATACCCAACCTAAGGGTGTGAGCCTAATAAAAGATCATTTATCTTAACTTCATGGTTCATATCATTTATTTTATTTTTCTCACCATGGATATGTGGTGGGGGAGAATCCCTGATGGCTTACAGATAGGAACCTCTTGTTTCTTATAAATAAATCAAGAAAATGAGAAAAAGAAGAGGGCCATATATTCCTACTAACATTTGCACTTCTATCTCCAAAGCATAGAGATTGTCACAAGTGTTTCATAAAGGGAGGATTCTGTATTACAGAGATTCCACAAGAGACCTTCAACTAAGATATGGCCTCATAACCACTTTCAAAAGTTACTGAGAAAATAATGTGCTCAAGGGCATAAATTTTTTTGCTCCAGACTGTGGTGTTTCCTTTCTTTCTCTTTCCAATATTTATACACTGTAACTCGTATTACTAATTGCCAAACATGTATTCCTGCTCTAAGAACCTTCCTGCCTTCCTGCTCCCAAAACCTCTTCAGAATAATGCTTCTTTATCCAGTCCTCAATTTCCAGTACAGTTTAGTACTCTCTCATCACTGCTGAGGTCTGTGGAGCTCAGCCTTGGGGAATTTTTATTTTTAATTTTTAAGATTTATTTATTTAATTTAAAATTGGTATTATAGAGAAAGGGAGAGAGAGAGAGGGAGAGAGAGAGAGAGAGAGAGATCTTCCATTCACTGGTTTACTCTACAAATGGCCATATTGGCTAGGCTGAAGCTAGGAGCTTTATCCAGATCCCCTATGTGGGTGGCAAGGACCCACACATTAGGCCATCTTCTGCTGCTTTTCCTGTGCCATTAGCAGGGAGTTGGGTCAGAAGCGGAGCAGCTGGGACACAAACTAGTGCTCATATGAGATGTCAGCATCAGAGGTGGCAGCTTTACCTCGTACGCCACAATACTGGCTCCCTCAGTGAACTTTTTAATGTTGCTGAGGAAATTCTTTCCAAACCCTTCCTGTATATTCATTTTTCACAACTTTACAGCTCTTCTTATGTCACACACACACACACACACACACACGAGCAAATACATACATACACCCCACATATATTATGCTTGATAAATATTTCTGTCTATTCTGCACTAATTTGCAGGCCTACTGTGCCCTGTATCAAATTCTTCTATAGATAATAAGTGGAAATTTTTTCAATGGAATAATAAGTGAATGAAAGTAATTAGGACTCCTAGCTCTTGAGGGAAATAAGAATATGTTAGATCATTGCGTGGAGTTCTTTTGATGTAAATACTGCAATATACAATGAGGAAGCAAGCAGGAAAGTAAGGTACTAAAGATAAATCTTTTGCTTTATAATACAGGCTGCCAAATTTATTCTTGTTGAAAGTAATTTTGTTATGTGTAAGATTAGAAGAATTTTTAGAACCCTCTAACATATGAATTTCTTGAAACACAACACATTCTGGTTAATTAACTTGGACTTACTTGAATACCTAAATAGAACCTGGTGCTTTCTTCTATATCAACATGATTCTGTAAGAACTCTGCATATACTGCCAGGATTTACCAACATGCCACTGTGTGAGGGTAAAGGGTTTTTTATGTACATTTTTTTCTTCTCAGATGATTGCACATAGTGTGACCAAGGAAGTCTTTATATACAAATAAAATTTTTTAAGGACTACAGACTTGGGATATAGATTTGACATAATTGCTATGATGCTTTATTGCTATGATTGCCAACTGCTAGATACCTATATCCTATAGTGGAGTGCCCGAATTTGATTCCCAGCTCTGTTTCCTGTTTCCAGCTTTTGGTAATGCAGACCAGAGAGGCAGCAGTGATAGTTCAAGAGATTGTGATCAGTACATCCATGTGGGAGAATTGCATTAAGTTCCCAGCTCATAGCTCCTTTTCTGTTCATTTGTGTTGTGAACCAATTGATGGGAACAAATAACAATGATTATTAAAGAAACACAGACTCACATCTCAGAAACCAAATTACTCCAGGAAAAATCACAGGAAGATCACTTTTATCCTCCTGAACATAGGAAACCCCTCCTAAGAATCAGATAAAAGGATAAGCGATTTCTGAAGGATCTGAAAGAGGGTAAGAGAATGTGGACTTTATGCTCTTGAAATAGGGAAACAACTGACCTTTTTTTCCTCAACATGGTCAAGAAAAGAACAAAAATATTTTATTATATTGTGTTCCATTTTTCTCCATCTGAAAGTGGCAAATCAATTTAGGAAGAAATTTGGCCTACAACTTACTATGAACTGATCTTCTGTAAATAAAGAGAATTGAAAATGAATTTTGATGTGAATAGAAGAGGAGAGGGAGCGGGAAAAGGGGAGGGTTGTGGGTGGGAGGGAAGTTATGGGTTGGGAAGTCACTGTAATCCATAAGCTGCACTTTGGAAATTTATATTCGTTAAATAAAAGTTAAAAAAAAAAGAAGCAAAAAAAAAGAAACTTGTGACAAGCATAAGTAATTACTGTGGGCAAGGCATTACTGCCTTTCTATTGTGGTTGAGGTGGTCAAGAGCCAGTAGAGACTTGGCAGCTTGTTATTATAGTCTCATTTATTGGTAGACAATAATTACTTGAAAATCACAGCAGAGGCTGGTGCTGCGGCTTACTAGGCTAATCCTCTGCTCTGCGGCGCCGGCACTCCAGGTTCTAGTTCCGGTTGGGGCACCGGATTCTGTCCCGGTTGCCCCTCTTCCAGGCCAGCTCTCTGCTGTGGCCTGGGAGTGCAGTGGAGGATGGCCCAAGTGCTTGGGCCCTGCACCCCCATGGGAGACCAGGAGGAAGCTCCTGACTCCTGGCTTCGGATCGGCGCAGTGCGCCGGCCGTAGCGACCATCTAGGGGGTGAACCAACAGAAAAGGAAGACCTTTTTCTCTGTCTCTCTCTGTTTAACTCTGCCTGTCAAAAATAAGTAAATAAATAAATGTGCACTTCCCTATTTACAAAAAAAGAAAATCATAGAAGAGGAATTAATTCCTTGTGATTTGACTTCACATTTATTTGATAACTTCCCATACAGTTATTTCTATTTTCCCCCATGATGTTGCTTTATAGGTGATTTCATTACATGAAGATGGGAAAGATAGAGATGGGAGGAGGGAGGGAAGAAGGGAGGGAGAGAAAGAGAGAGATTGATTGTAGGTTTGATTTCAAAAACATTTAAAAATAATATTATTTAATTAAACCAAGTTGAATCTGACAGAAAATTATCCTAAGTATCCATCTTTTGAGCTCAGAGACCTACTCTGTAGATTTTAACTTGTGAATCAATATCTACTTGTATTTATAGGGTGCCCAGACTTAAGCCAAGATTCTGTCTCTAAAAAGGTGAAATCTCCAATTTAACCTTGGAGGAGTTTGCACCATTGCTTTCAAGGAATGGCCCACTCAGTGAGGTGAATAAAATCTAATTCTGAGTGAAAATCTGAGAAAACATCAAAGTAAAAGTCATACACTGAAATACCAATTGCTCTATAATAATTAGAAATATATAAGTTGTATTCAAAAAAGTTCATGGAAATGCATTTTATGAAAAGCATACATGAAAATATGTTTTTCTACCAAGATCAATTTATCTATTAATTTCATTTTTCAATGGAGTTTTTAAAGAATCCCTGCACTCTAGCAAAGTGGTATCTGGGTTAACTTTACACTTTTTGATGAGATAAATAAATTCTTCCTAATAAATAAAGACTACAATATTCCCTAATTCTTCAACTATTTTGTGTATGCCCCTCTTTCTATGAGTTCTGATTTTCTTAGCGCTATTTTATTTTACTTATCCTTAGAAGATGCTAAGTTGAAGTAGCTGAAAAATTGTGCTTCTGGGAAACAAAACTACAGCAAACAGCTGAACTATGTTTAGTCAAGAAAGCAGACAGTAGATTGCTGAAATGTCACACATGAGGAACTTAATATAGAACACCAAATATATTCAGAAACATTCATGCTGAAGGCCATTTTTGAACTGTACAGCTTCACATTCATCTAGATGGGTGTCAACAGGTGGATTCTGTTGACGGAGCTTCATGTTCATCCACTTAATTATACTCTGATTAGGACCACTTTCGTATAGAACATTAGGAAACAGGAAAGCCTGCCAGAATGGAGTCAAGGAAGGAAACTTGTGCCTCTGCCTCTTTCTGAGAACACATATTTTGTGTATGTGTATGTGTGTGTGTGTGAGTGTGTGTATGTGAGTGTATGTGTGTGTGTATGTGTGTTGCAGTGCTTCCGGGAGCTGGAGGCAAAGTAGAGCAGACTATCTGATCCCTACAGGAAAGAAGCAGGCTCATGCTGGTGGAGGCAGCAGTGAATCTCAGTTACTTTCTGGGAACTTTGGATGGTGTAGATTTGAGACTGAGGCTCTGGACATAACCACATCAATCGCTATTTATCCTGTCTTGAAACTTACTATGTCCAATACATCAGAACTTTTGATAGTCCTATGACTTGTAGGTTATCTCCACAGGGTTATGGGTAACAGACGGAAAAGTCTGTTTCACATTCTAATCTTGCTGGGGCAGCAGCAAACCCTCCCCTGAACCCAAGATATAGCACTGGTGGCTGGTGCCAGTACAAGACAGTGACAAAATGTAACTTAGGGGATCTAGTTTGAACTTGAGAAATGGCGGAGGAGGTATTTAGAAAGGTGCCAATTTCTGCTAACCAAGACTGCAAAGTTGTAGTCTTGACAATTCTGCTCTTTACATAAAATTGAAGCATTTTCTGTGTTGTTCTTTAGTAAGTTATTTAATTTTTCTACGAAAAAGAATTCTTGAAAAGGATTTACCCAAACTTCCTAGAACACCTTCTTTCATATATATACACCTGACATCAGATAAAATAGGTATGAAAGAGGATATTTAAAAGTCTCCTTGTAAAGTGATGACTAAACTAATGACTTTAAATTTAATAAAATGAAAACCAAAGGCAAAATTGGCTAAAGCCAAGTTAAAAAAAGAAACTTAAAACTCAAAAGGCTTCCATAGTCTTGGCAACTCATGACAAGAGCCTAGGGTGATTACTGATGCCATAAACAAGAGTGTCAATTTGTTAAGTCAACAACAGGAGTCACCGTGCACTTACTCCTCATGTAGGATCTCTGTCCTTAATGTGCTGTACATTATGATTTAATGATATAACTAGTACTCAAACAGTGTTTTTCACTTTGTGTTTCTATGTGGGTGCAAACTGTTGAAATCTTTACTTAATATATGCTAAACTGATCTTCTGTATATAAAGAGAATTGAAAATGAATCTTGATGTGAATGGAAGGGGAGAGGGAGTGGGAAAGGGGAGGGTTGCGGGTGGGAGGGAAGTTATGGTGGGGGGGAAGCCATTGTAATCCATAAGCTGTACTTTGGAAATTTATATTCATTAAATAAATGTTAAAAAAAAAAAAACATTTGGAAGACCTCTTTCCCCAGTATTCAGCATTTGAAATGCCTTCCTAGGGGTAAATTATATGCTCATTGCTCCAGTCTTTGAAAGAGGAATAAGTATAAAGTATTTAAATTCTGTCCCTTTTACCCCATGATCATATCCTGAACACATAATTGTTACATATTTCCGTATACCCAGAGAAGAATCAGGCCTTCCCATAAGTGAAAGAATGAGCAGAATGCAGTTTGCTCTTGAGTACCTGATGGGTGTCTGAGCAGTTTAAAATGGTGAGAAATAACTGATGGATTTAGCAGTGATGGGGACAGTAATTTGGAGAATAGCATGATAGAAAGGGAATTTTGTGAATTTTTCTGGAAAAACTGGAAATAGAGAATTTTTTTTTTCTGGCTCACTGAAAACACATTAATGTAATTGGAGTTTCAGAGTGAAATGACAAGAGAATTCTATTTGACATTTGTTGCCAGTAATGGCAAAGGAGAGAGAAAGATGTTTCTAGACATTATGGTACCTGCATTAGAAAATGGTTCTATGGTAAGGAAAAGTATGGCTCTTTCCATACTGGAAGGAATGGCAGTTTAGGGGAGGGATATACTGATGAGTCAGGGATGATGCAAAGAGGGGAGAATGGGCAGCAGGGTCTGTGGGAATGCTGAGATCCTCCACTGAGCTCAGAAGTACTTCCTCCTTTGCTTTTTTCATTGCACTTTTAACAATGACAAGCAGAACTCCACACTCCACACTTCAGAAGTCTTTCCTAGCCGGAGAAGTTAGCAATTTATTATGTGGAAGAAAAGATGAGAAAGAGAAAGACATTGGGAAAAGCTATAAAGATAGAAGGGTAAACTTTAGTAAAAGCAATCAAGTAAACAAAAAATGTATAGAGAAAACAGGGCTGTTGGTGGAGAGTTTGGATCAAAGGAATGTTTCTAAAAGATAGCATTCTTAGTGGTTTAGAAGGGATGAAACAGCTCAGGCTGTAAATGTCTTCCCATGCTCCTACCACCACCTTCAAGATCCAGAAACATCCCCGTTTTTCCCTAGACACTTTCCCAGATCACCAAGGCAGAGCTAATTAGGCATCCAGTGTGGGTATGGCATTGTAAGCCATTGCTTTTCCTAGTGTTACAGCACTGGCATGTAGCTGGTTTTGACACATGTGTAGTTTTCACCTCATTGAGAGGTCCCTGTTTCCATTGCTTCACCCCCCAAACCATAACAGAGTAAAAATTCCACAAAATAAATTTGATTCAAATTTATTCTATTTTAAAAGTTTATTTATTTGATTATATGATAAAATTAAATGAGTAACAACAACAATAACATATAATGAATAAATTAATAAGTGTTTTTCTTACCAGGAAGATTTACTCCAAAGCAGAAGGAAGTCGTACTTATAACTATGGCACAGGTTTCATCCATTCTGTTTTTTGTAATTATTTTGGATATTCTGAAGACATAAAGAGATCTCTCTCTCTCTCTCTCTCTCTCTCTACCTATCTATTTATCTATTTAAGTGGATTTCAACACACAAATCTTCTCCCTTTTCTGTGCCTTAAATCCTCATTTGTATGATAAATAATTGCAGAGAAAATTTTTCATAGGCTTACCAGGCTCTAATAACAAAAATTATATAAATTTGGCAAGAAAGGTGTTTTCAGTAGCAATTAGTACTGCTGGTATGGGTCTGGGAGATACATAGAAGGAAGGCTGAGTCTGTCAGACTCCTAAGCCATTGCCATAACTGCCAAGGACAGGGGTGCTGTCATCACCCAGACCTCACCCTGCAGAGCCACACCCTGGTGTTGGCCAATCTACACACGGGGTAGGGATTACATAGTTCAGGACTTGGGCATAAAAGGCAGAGCAGGGCAGCTGCTGCTTACACTTGCTTTTGACACAACTGTGTTTACTTGCAATCCCCCAAAACAGACAGAATGGTGCATCTGTCCAGTGAGGAGAAGTCTGCGGTCACTGCCCTGTGGGGCAAGGTGAATGTGGAAGAAGTTGGTGGTGAGGCCCTGGGCAGGTTGGTATCCTTTTTACAGCACAACTTAATGAGACAGATAGAAACTGGTCTTGTAGAAACAGAGTAGTCGCCTGCTTTTCTGCCAGGTGCTGACTTCTCTCCCCTGGGCTGTTTTCATTTTCTCAGGCTGCTGGTTGTCTACCCATGGACCCAGAGGTTCTTCGAGTCCTTTGGGGACCTGTCCTCTGCAAATGCTGTTATGAACAATCCTAAGGTGAAGGCTCATGGCAAGAAGGTGCTGGCTGCCTTCAGTGAGGGTCTGAGTCACCTGGACAACCTCAAAGGCACCTTTGCTAAGCTGAGTGAACTGCACTGTGACAAGCTGCACGTGGATCCTGAGAACTTCAGGGTGAGTTTGGGGACCCTTGATTGTTCTTTCTTTTTCGCTATTGTAAAATTCATGTTATATGGAGGGGGCAAAGTTTTCAGGGTGTTGTTTAGAATGGGAAGATGTCCCTTGTATCACCATGGACCCTCATGATAATTTTGTTTCTTTCACTTTCTACTCTGTTGACAACCATTGTCTCCTCTTATTTTCTTTTCATTTTCTGTAACTTTTTCGTTAAACTTTAGCTTGCATTTGTAACGAATTTTTAAATTCACTTTTGTTTATTTGTCAGATTGTAAGTACTTTCTCTAATCACTTTTTTTTCAAGGCAATCAGGGTATATTATATTGTACTTCAGCACAGTTTTAGAGAACAATTGTTATAATTAAATGATAAGGTAGAATATTTCTGCATATAAATTCTGGCTGGCGTGGAAATATTCTTATTGGTAGAAACAACTACATCCTGGTCATCATCCTGCCTTTCTCTTTATGGTTACAATGATATACACTGTTTGAGATGAGGATAAAATACTCTGAGTCCAAACCGGGCCCCTCTGCTAACCATGTTCATGCCTTCTTCTTTTTCCTACAGCTCCTGGGCAACGTGCTGGTTATTGTGCTGTCTCATCATTTTGGCAAAGAATTCACTCCTCAGGTGCAGGCTGCCTATCAGAAGGTGGTGGCTGGTGTGGCCAATGCCCTGGCTCACAAATACCACTGAGATCTTTTTCCCTCTGCCAAAAATTATGGGGACATCATGAAGCCCCTTGAGCATCTGACTTCTGGCTAATAAAGGAAATTTATTTTCATTGCAATAGTGTGTTGGAATTTTTTGTGTCTCTCACTCGGAAGGACATATGGGAGGGCAAATCATTTAAAACATCAGAATGAGTATTTGGTTTAGAGTTTGGCAACATATGCCCATATGCTGGCTGCCATGAACAAAGGTTGGCTATAAAGAGGTCATCAGTATATGAAACAGCCCCCTGCTGTCCATTCCTTATTCCATAGAAAAGCCTTGACTTGAGGTTAGATTTTTTTATATTTTGTTTTGTGTTATTTTTTTCTTTAACATCCCTAAAATTTTCCTTACATGTTTTACTAGCCAGATTTTTCCTCCTCTCCTGACCACTCCCAGTCATAGCTATCCCTCTTCTCTTATGGAGATCTTATTAAAGCAGCTGGGACAGGGACGGAAAAAGGGCTTTGACTGCCTTTCTCTTGAGCCCTTTTCCTGATCTCCACAACTCACTGATACCACTGGTCTCATTGGAAGGGGTGGGCTGTTAACAGTGTGACAAATGTAGGAATAAACTGGATGCAAAAGGGGGCTTTGTGCAGCTTTATATTCACTGTTGTCTTAAACCCTTTTTATGGACTCAAATCAAATGACAGTCCCTCAGGATGTTAGCTTCTGAATTCAGAAAGTGATTGCAGAGTTGCCCACTCCTTTATCCTGTGTCTGATGGTTTTGCTGTCTCTGTAGTGATTAGCTTACTGTCACCATTTCCTCATTCAATAGGCACTCAGGTGGATGAAAGGTTCTGGTTCACTCCCCAAACACCTGCAACAGTCAGGAGTGTGTCAGGCCAAAACCAGAAAACAGGAATTGCCATGGGGTCTCCATGATGGGTGGCAGGGACTCAAGTACATGAGCCATATTCGGCTGCTTCCAGGTACGTTAGCAGAAAACTAGATCAGAAGTGGAGCTGTGGGGACCAGAATAAACACTTTGATATGGGATGTTGGTGTCTCAAGTAGCAACTTAACCCCCTGCTCACTAAAACACTCTAATCCTCATTACCTAGGAGCAACTGAGCCTGAGGGCTATCTAAGATAGCTGGTGACACAGAGATCATATACCCTGGCTAAAAGCATGGCTGAATCCATGAAAGAAAATATATGCTCAAAATAGGAATAGAATACACAGATTTATGCACAGATGCTTACAAATTTTAGCCAATCCTGGTGACATGGTTAACTTGGAGATCTAGATCAGTTCTTGCCAGCATGCCCAGAGAATAGTACATGGGAAAATTTATAGAGATGATGAGTTAGAGACAAAGTGAGTGATAATGACATTGCCTGGGATTGCTGCTAGGTACACTGAAAAATCAGGGAGGAAGATCCAATAAATGACCCATTCAAAATCTAGAAAACCTGTCAACAGGAACTTTGGAAACTTATTTCTAATGTATCTGAACATCAAGGCAGGAATAGGTCTTTCTGTATAATCATTAAATATGCCCAAATGTCAAGTTCTATGTGAGTCATGAAGGTAACTTGATAATGCTCTACACTTCATATTTTGTTCAATTGTTTAATACAAAAAGCACTTTTATTTTATTTATTTAATTTTTTAAACTTTTATTTAGTAAATATAAATTTCCAAAGTACAGCTTATAGATTACAATGGCTTCACCCTCATAATTTCCCTCCCACCTGCAACCCTCCCATCTCCTGCTCCCTCTCCCATTCCATTCACATCAAGATTCATTTTTAATTATCTTTATATACAGAAGATCAATTTAGTATATATTAAGTAAAGATTTTAACAGTTTGCACCCACACAGAACATAAAGTATAAATACTGTTTGAGTACTAGTTATAGCATTAATTCACATTGAACAACACATTAAGGACAGAGATCCTACATGAGCAGTAAGTGCACAGCGACTCCTGTTGTTGACTTAACAAATTGACATTCTTGTTTAGGGGGTCAGTTATCTCCCCAGGCTCCTGTCATGAGTTACCAAGGCTATGGAGGCCTTTTGAGTTCACCGACTTCGATCTTATTTAGACAAGGTCATAGTGAAAGTGGAAGTCCACTCCTCCCTTCAGAGAACGGTACCTCCTTCCTCAATGGCCCATTCTTTCAACTGGGATTTCACTTACAGAGATCTTTCATTTAGCTCCTTTAATTTCTTTTTTTTTTTTTTTTTCTAGAGCATCTTACCTTTCCATGCCTGAAATACTTTCATGGGCTCTTCAGCCAGATGTGAATGACTTAAGGGCTGATTCTGAGGACAGAGTGCTGTTTAGGACATGTGCCATTCTATGAGTCTGATGTGTATCCCATTTCCCATGTTGGAATGTTCTCTCCATTTTTAATTCTGTCAGTTAGTATTAGCAGACACTAGTCTTGTTTATGTGATCCCTCTGACTCTTAGACCTATCATTACGATCAATTGTGAACAGAAATTGATCACTGGGACTAGTGAGATGGCATTGGTACATGCCACCTCAATGGGATTGAATTCGAATCCCCTGGTCTGTTTCTAACTCTACCATTTGAGGTAAGTCAGTTTGAGCATGTCCCGAATTGCACATCTCTTCCCTCTCTTATTCCCACTCTTATATTTAACAGGGATTACTTTTCAGTTAAATTTAAACACCTAAGAATAATTGTGTGTTAATTATAGAGTTCAACCAATAGTATTAAGTAGAACAACCAAAAAATACTAAAAGAGATAAAGTATTACATTGTACATCAACCGTCAGGACAAGGGCTGTTCAAGTCACTGTTTCTCATAGTGTTCATTTCACTTTGACAGGTTTCCTTTTTGGTGCTGGGTCAGTTGTCACTGATCAGGGAGAACATATGATATTTGTCCCTTTGGGATTGGCTTATTTCACTCAGCATGATGTGTTCCAGATTCCTCCATTTTGTTTCATTGTTTTTTTGCTTCTATATAGTATTCTATAGAGTACATGTCCCATAATTTCTTCATCCATTCTACTGTTGATGGGCATTTGGGTTGTTTCCAGGTCTTAGCTATTGTGAAGTGAGCTGCAATAAACATTGAGGTGCAGACAGCTTTTTTGTTTGCCAATTTAATTTCCTTTGGGTAAATTCCAAGGAGCGGGATGGCTGGGTTGTATGGTAGGGTTATATTCAGGTTTCTGAGGAATCTCCAGACTGACTTCCATAGGGGCTTAACCAGTTTGCATTCCCACCAACAGTGGGTTAGTGTCCCTTTCTCCCCACATCCTTTCCAGCATCTATTGTTGGTAGATTTCTGTATGTGAGCCATTCTAAGCGGGGTGAGGTGAAACCTCATTGTGGTTTTGATTTGCATTTCCCTGATTGCTAGCGATCTTGAACATTTCTTCATGTGGATGTTGGCCATTTGGATTTCCTCTTTTCAAAAATGGCAATTGAGGTCCTTGGCCCATCTCTTAAGTGGGTTGTTTGTTTTGATGTTGTGGAGTTTCTTTATGTCTTTGTGGATTCTGGCTATTAATGCTTTATCTGTTGCTTAGTTTGCAAATATTTTTTCCCATTCTGTCAGTTGCCTCTTCACTTTCCTGACTGTTTCTTTTGCAGTACAGAACTTCTCAATTTGATGTAATCTCAATAGTTAATTTTGGCTTTGACTGCCTGTGCCTCCAGGGTCTTTTCCAAGAAGTCTTTGGCTGTGCCAATATCTTGCAGGGTTTCTCCAATGTTCTCTAATAACTTCATGGTGTCGGGTCATAGATTTAGGCCTTTAATCCATGTTGAGTGGATTTTTGTGTAAGGTGTAAGGTATGGGTCTTTCTTCATGCTTCTGCTCGTGGAAATCCAGTTTTCCCAGCACCATTTATTGAATAGACTGTCCTTGCTCCAGGAATTGGTTTTAGATTCCTGATCAAATATAAGTAGGCTGTTGTATCCCTTTAATTTCTTTTTCTTGCCTAATAGCTCTGGCTAAAGCCTCCAGAAATATACTGAATAGCAGTGGTGAGAATGGATATCCCTTATGGTACCAGATCTCAGTGGAAATGCTTCCAACTTTTCCCCATTCAATAGGATGCTGGTCGTGGGTTTTTCATAAATTGCTTTGATTGTATTGAGGAACATTCCTTCTATACCCAGTTTACTTAGAGTTTTCATCATGAAAGGGTCTTGTGTTTTATCGAATGCTTTCTCTGCATCTATTCAGATAATCATATGGTTTTTCTTCTGCAGTCTGTTAATATCACATTTGCAAACATTGAACCATCCCTGCATACCAGGGTTATATCCCACTTGTCTGGGTGAATGATCTTTCTGAAATGTTGTTGCATTCCGTTGGCCAGAATTTTATTGAGAATTTTTGAGTCTATGTTCATTAGGTATATTGTTCTGTAATTTTCTTTCAATGCTGCATCTTTTTCCGGCTTAGGAATTAAGGTGATGCTGGCTTCATAGAAAGATTTTGGGAGGATTCCCTCTTTTTCGATTGTTCTGAATAGTTTGAGAAGAATTGAGTTAGTTCTTCTTTAAATTTCTGGTAGAATTCAGTAGTGAATCCATCTGGTCCTGGGCTTTTCTTTGTTGGGAGGGCCTTTATTACTGTTTCAATTTCTGCCTCAGTTATGGGTTTGTTTAGGCTTTCTATGTCTTCCTGGTTCTATTTAGGTAGGTTGCATGTGTCCAGGAATCTCTCCATTTCTGATAGATTTCCCTGTTTGCTGGCATACAAGTCCTTGTAGTAATTTCTGATGATTCTTTTTATTTCTGTGGTGTCTGTTGTTACATTCCCTTTTTCATCTCTGATTTTATTGATTTGGGTCTCTTCTTTTTAGTTAGTTGAGCTAATGCGGTATCAATTTTGTTTATTTTTTCAAAAAACCAGCTCCCCATTTGGCTGATTTTTGGTAATTTTTTTTGGATTCAATCCTGTTGATTTCTTCTCTGATTTTAATTATTTCTCTTCTCCTACTAGATTTGGGTCTGCTTTGCTGCAGTTTTTCTAGATCCTTGAGATGCGTCGAAAGCTCATCTATTTGGTGCCTTTCCAATTTCTTGATATAGGCCCCTATTGATATAAACTTTTCTCTTAACACTGCT